CGAAAAATTCCTGGGGATTTTCGGGAATTTCGGTCAGAAAATACTCTGTTTCTCTGCAACGAAGAGAGATTTAATTTCATCGTTCAACTTAAAAAAATACAGCATTTCAAAATTGTTACGAAATTGTATCAAAACGAAATTTAAATTTAAAGAAATTTGTTTTATTTGTAAACAATCTAGCCTAAAATTTTGATTTTATTTAAAAACTGAAACCTTAATAAATATAAAAATTGGATTTTTGACTCTGAAAATCGAAAAAGTTTGCAGAAACAAAAATCTTTGCATTACAACGTCATTCGCAAAAATCCGAAACGGAAGGAACATGGCGGACATACTGTACGCTGCATGCCACATTTTAATACTAGTAGCCCGGGACGCTCCCTAGTGGGCGTTTTAGCAGTATTACAAATTCCTATGAGGCATGTTTAAAGCAGCGGCAGCTTTACGTTCCTCCACAGTGGCGTATTTCTTTGGTCGTGCCTACAGTGGCTAGCCACTGTAGTCGTGCCATGAAAGGTTTCTATTATTATATTAAAAAATTAGCTTAACTATTTCAAACCTTATCGTTTTATCGTAGCGGTTCAAATCTATCCGGTTTTTCGTTATTCGCCTCCTAGTGAACATTACAGGCATTCCGTGACAATAATAAATTCCTATTACAAATATAATGAATTATTTATATTGTTATATTGACCAAATAATAATTTATTGGCCAAATGAATAATAATAATTTATATTGTTCATTTAAATAATAATTAAAATTGTTAATTTAATTTGAATGTTTTAAATATGACACACGATAGGGGCGCCTCTAGTGTCCGTTATCAAACGGTTACGGGACGGACGGACGGAAGGAAGGACGGATACATGTTGAATGGGTTATATATATATTGATAAACAATGGTTATTTAAAATTACGTATTGTAAAAATTATTTAAACTCGTTTCATAATTTAATTATTATGAAAAATGTTTTTGAACGTTTAGTTTAAAATATTCGAACAGAATTTATCCCGACACGAGTCAGATATTTTAACGCTGAAATCGAGGATACAGATAAGAAAAACTTGAAATTAAACTGAAATTGCATTTAGTTAATGCAAGGTTACGATTTTTACGCACGAACGAGCCGATAACTAAAAATCCTTTCTTAGTTATCTCACAAACACAGACAATTCTCCTTATTGCCGATACTTTGGCGACGTTTTAACTCCGATTTAGATATAAAACGACCGCGGAAGGGAGTTTTTGCCAGAATAAATTATCCGGTGATGGATTAAAGAAACTTTACACGAAAATTTCTTTCTACAAGTATCACACTGTGGAATGCGAGTATCGGAACAAGCTTTTGTCATACTTTTAGTTTTAAACGACTTATTACAACTTCCACACACAAACGTATTCTCGTGTCGAACAAAGCAATGTTTGACAAAAGTTTTTCTATATTTGAAACGAGTTTTACATTCGTTACAAAAATACTTGCTTCTATCGCTATGTACGATTTTATGCTGTTTCAAATCAGGTTTTCTTTTAAAACATTTGTTACAAATATCACAAGAATCCTTGTATTCACTGCTATGTATGAGTTTATGACCGTATAAACAGTTTTTTGTTTTAAAACGTTTGTTACATGTATGACAAGAATACTTACGTCCATTACTGTAAATTTCGTAATGTATTTTTAACTCGCCTTTCCTTTTAAAACGCTTATTACAAATATCGCATTGGAAAGGTCGATGGTCACTATGAGTTACTTCGTGAGATGTCAATCCGTATTTCACTTTAAATTCTTTGTTACAAATCTTATATCGATGAGATTTGCTCGTTCTTCCGTGCCGCTCTAAACCACCCTTCGAAGTAAGACGCTCTTTGGGACGAAAAATTTCTTTATAATGTTCACTTTCGAATTTAAAATTCAATCTTTCCAAAACAACTTTACATTGTTTTATATCGCGTTTAATATCAGACTCCTCTTTTATTTCTTTTTTCTTAATACCTATATTGGAATTTACAAATATTCTTTACTTTAAACATTTCTAAGACAATAATTTTATTAAAAAAAACTTATTTTATTTACACTTATGTGTCAAAAAGTAATCCAAAAATCAAATACGATAAATTTAGGAGCACCGAGCCTCGGCCAGACGTCGCACAGTGGGTCATGGGACGATTCTAGCAGGACTTAAGTATATAGGCTGGTGCAATTCATTTTTATAATAAAAATTTTTTACTTAAATATCGTATTTTAGTTAATTTAATCGTTAAATTTAATTTCATTAATTTAGTTAGTTAATACGATTAATTACGATTTTTAGTTAATACGATTAACTAAAAATTTACATATCGGAGTTTGAATCGGATTTTTCTTATACTACGGTCACGCTCAGTGCTTCTAGTAATTTTAAAACGTTAGCGGTTAACGGAGTTTTTTTTTATGCCAAGTGATCTAAGGTTTGTAATGAGAGGATCTGAAGAAATTAAAAGATTATGTAAAATATCTATATTAGTGTTTATTCTATAGGTTTTTCGGGAATAACTCTCACGAAATTTTTTAAATTCCTTGTGTCTAGTTTCTTGCACTTTTTCGGACAATTGTCCTATTGAAACGAGAAACGAATTTTTGATCCGCGTATTAAAACTTTGTGAAGAGCGACTGGCATGGGATACCAATGATAAAGCGTCACGTATAACTCCGCTGTTTCCTTCGTGTAGATTTCGAATTTGCTGGTTTCGATTTCGTAGCCGGATGCTAGTGCTTGTAGTAGGCTACAACCGAAAATCGTTCTATTAGGTTCTTGTTAACACCGGTTATCTCTGCAGTAAGAGTGGTATAAGAAAAAAATCTTGCCGAATTACTGTCGTTGGTGTTTCCACCACCTTGCTTGGGAGTATCCAGAAGTAAACCAGTTTCGGTTCTAAATGTATTAATAATATTTTTCTTTCTTGTTGATAATGACTCTTTCTCTTCGGTCTCGCGCACTTGCCATTTTTTAATATCCATTCGATACGCTATGCGAAGAATGCATTCCATGAATCTTATGTGACAAGGAAGAGTCGATAGACCAAATGAAAAAGTTTCTTCATTACATTGCCTCATTTTAATATTAGGTAGATCGTTCATTTGGCTGAATGGGACGTCCCAAAAATTCTTTTTGGGACGTCCCATCCAGCCAAATGAATAAATAATGCCAATGAACAAATAATGAAACGTCCCAAAAAGAATTTTTGGGACGTTTCATTATTTGTTTTTGTGGTGTTTTACAGCTTGCACTAGTTTGTGGCAAATTGACATTTTCGATAATTGCCTAATCATTGAGCCATAAGCGCTTTTTGGTTGAAAAATGTTTGATATTTCCATTACGTTTCTTCCATCTTTGACATAGACCAACGGAAAAAGAACAAGTAATTCGACGTAACTCATTTTCCACTAACTCGACTAGGATTTGTTAAACTGAACTTTTTTTAATGTAGTCTATGATAATATTTTTTACTTCGAATGACCCGCTTATCATTTTATTTTTTTCTCTTAGTTTTTCAAAAAATTCACTCCTGCTGACTACGAGCCATCGCCCTGTGAAAAAAAAATGGTTAACTTATACGTCAAAATCCGCGCGTTTTCGCACACAAATATATGTTACACATAATTATAAAATCTTCAAAAATCCGGAGAAAATGAAATGAAAACGTACAAAGACATACGAAAAAAGATGCAGAAGTTTAAAAGTTTTACTTATTTAAAATTAAGTGTAAAAATCCCTTGGGTTTGCGATTGTTGTATATAAAACCCCCTCATTGACTATCATTAATGAAATATACATATTAAAATACATACTTTGGCAATTACTATTATAAGAACACTTAAAACAGCCAGCGAAACAACTATTCAAAATAAGTCCGAACAGGACACGTTATGATTCCAACCAGATATAAAACTGATGCTTTTTCATTTGTTGCTTAGCAAAGCCACGGGGCGTATTTTAAAAATTATCGGTAGCAATTGACTCACTGGAATGTTTTTTATTAAGACATAAATATGTAAGGGTCATTATCAGTTATGCATTTTTTGACTTTTGTCCTCCTAGAATCGTCCCAGGACCCACTGTGCGTCGCTCGGCCGGACATCAAAGAATTCTGCTGCTTCGAGTGTTGTTAAGTCGGCAGTATAAAGACGAAGGGATCTTACGAAACCCGAAAAGTAGAAAGATAGAGACTAGCACTGCAAAATCGCTATAAGATACTTCCGAAACGAGAAAATGGAACAGCGAGAGGACGGATCGCTCGGATATTTTGTTTGAACGAGTCTACTTTCTAAACATTTTCGGTCACTACCAAGAACCCGGTTCTTTAGAGCCTGGATAGAGGACGGTCAGACTACTCTGACGGAAGATCGATTTTGCGCCAGCTTCTCACGAAATACCGACCCGGTATGTGCGTGGAAGCTGCGGAACCGTAGAGCCGACGAATAGGTCGACCCGAAAATTGACCAACAGTTAACAAAATGAATAAAAAAAAAGCAGTTTGCAGGAGTAAGAATTATTCCGAGACAATCATATTTGATATTACGTGGCACAATTACGTACGAAAGCTGCCCGTCTATCAATAATCGAATCATTAAATTTATACTAAATAGTTCGTTTTTAGTTAATCCATCTTAATAAATATTAATTTCAGAAAGAAATTACAATTCATTTACGGTAAAAGAACTAATTAACAGAATTCTTTGTGTCGTAGACAAAAATTTAAGAAGAAATTGAAATAATTGGAAATTTTACCCCAATTCGAGAATATCATTATCGTATTTCTTTATAAGTAATTATCATTCGGTTTAAACTTTTCCTATTACGTAACGGTAATTCTTAATTCTTAAGCAATAAGTTTTTAGATTTATATTACGCATTGTAATAGAAGGACAAAAAGCAAATCACAAATTAACTTCGTGAAACATATTTGTTGTTTCTTTTTTAATAAAAGAAAGACTTTCCGAAATAAAAAAGGAATTTGTCAGAATTTCCCGATAAAGACGTAAATTCCATACCAGAAAGAAATGTCGACAAATTAGCGATTTATTATTTCGTTCTGATTTTAATTAGTTATGTTTTTTGATCGCTTAGACCATAACAGAAAATTAAAACGTAGAAAATTACTATTTTACCACAAGTAGGGTCGGACAAAATGAAGAAGACGACTCGGCACTCGCAGAAAAAAATACCATTCTTTTCAGTAAATCGTAGAAAATTAACAAAAAAGAAAGAATAAAACGAATACTAATAGACATTTTGCTATTTATTAACCAAAACTGAATTTTATTAAATTATTTTATTGTCTAACTTGTAAGACGTAAATTCCGACCGTTTAGGATCCCGATAAATTGAATCGACATCTCTATTTACTACTTCGAGTTTTATCGATAATATTGAATCATATAGGCCTATATTATATAAATTTATGTAGACACACTGTGTTTACGTTTTAACTATTCTAAATATCATTAAGAACATATGTCAATAGTATTAAAAGTATCGATCCTCTTACTTATTTTATCGTAACCGGTCATATTCCAAATATCACAAAGATTTCGGTTATTTGCCAAAACGGTCTTTTCGTCGATATTTATCTGAAATGATAAAAATACAATAATCGTTATATTTTCACAGCAGTCGATATTTATACAAAAATGTGAAAAAATATATATTTCAACCGAAACATAAAATTCCATTTATTCAATAAATTTCTTCGAGATACGTGCTTACTAACGCGTTAGCTTCGTCAAGACCCTTGTCGAATTATAGAAATTAATTGACATAATTGTTAGTATAAATCTCCTCATATTACTGTATTTGAATTAGGAAAAAGTGGTTTGTTGCGATTAAAATTTGCCGGGCTTATATAACAGTTGTAATAACGAATTGCTCTTCCGTTTAAACCCTATTCCCTCCCTTCTAAATTTCCAGTGTTTTGAATAACATTGTAAAAGCCGATTTTATTAAATTCTTTTCCGTATATTTTTCCTTCCCCATTTTTTGTGGTATAAAACTGACGCAATAATCATTCGACTTCTCGAATAATATCAGTCTTTTATATAGGGGAGACCGGGGCAACTTCGGCACGCGGGGCAAGTTTGTCAAGTGCTTTTTTTAAAAAACAAATTAAAAGGAGACTTTGGTTATAGGTTAGGCAGTTGAGTTTTATTTGTGGCTTGTTGAGTGTAGTGTTTTTATTATTCTCCAACAAGCGTAGTTGAATTATCAAGCAAATTTTCATTTTCGTTCAATTCCATATAATATTTTNACTATTATATTTCAAGATCACAAAATTAATACAAAAAAACAATTCCACGTAATCTATGTGAATCTAGCTATATCATAAATCGAATTCGAACAAAATGATACAAGTTATAGAGAAAAATGCAATGCCTGATGCACACGAATGAGAACCGTAGAACCTCATCTGTGGAATAGAATTAATCTTGAGGATCAAGTTCAACGGTTCTATTAATTAATGTTAACGTACCACAAATGCTGATTTTTGGTGTAATCTGCATCCAATCAAGAAGAAAGTTTTACAAATAACAAAAAAACTGGTCATGGAACAATGGCAGAACATATTCAAAAATTACAAATCAGAACGAAATTTCTCAACTGCATCTTTTATTCAAGCTTACTTCTGAGCATAGCCGGAAAAAATAGAAGAAAGTACACTATGAACTTGACCTAGCTTCAGACTTCCCCGTAGAAGATCACGTAGAATTATAATTTGCCGATCTTGCCCCTATACTTGGGGCAACTTCGGCAACTTCTCGCTTTTTTTTCAGTTTACAGCAGTATTTATTACACAAAATTTAAGTAAAGCTTAACATGCCGATCTTGCCCCGGTTTCCCCTATATAAAAAAAACTATATTACATACACATGTACGAACAAATAAAAACCCAGCGAAGCGGGTCCTTGCAGCTAGTACTATATAATAATTGATTGCTCGCGATACGATTTATTATCGATCTAAATTCTTTTACTTCACTACGGCACATTTACTACGCTTAAAAATCCCGCTTTAAACCAATATAAACGTAGGACGATACAGCCATGTAGCGCAACGATTGACAGCGGCGCCTCTCGCGGCAACCCGCAATAAACGGACAGAAAATAAGCTCGATTTCGACACTACTTTCTAGCCACTTTGGCATCCCCCTTGTCTCTTTGTTAAAGTTTCGTCGGTCGCTTCCGGCACAACTTCTGATTGAATAGCCACCGACTGTTCGTCAATTCTCCTAAAAGTATGACAGACGCAAACTCTTCTTACAGAATACGGTTACGTTACGGAGGTTATAATTCGACCCTTAACCCCTGGAAAACGAACACCGTGGCTAAATATGCCAAAATTTAATAGAAAACTGCCGAAACGGCTTTTTCTTATCCCGAAAATGTAGTTCGGTTTAAAGCCGAAGTATCTAGTAATTACATCTGTCCCTTGATATTCCGACAGGTATGGGACCAAAGGGGTGTCGGATTACCAAGTGTCCGAATTACCAAAAGTGATTACATATTTGGCATTGTTTTGCTAGCAGTAGTCTACAATATTCCCTACTCCAACTGTTCGAACAGAATCGCTCACGGAAAACACACGAAATGTGTCATCGTGTAAAGCGGAATGCACACATGCGGCGCGGCAAGGAAAGGCGGCAGGGTGACGTCACTTTTTCTCGCCGCAGAAGTCGATTTTGTGCCGCTTTTCTCGTGCCGCAAAAGTTGGTCGAATTTTATGTTTTGCGGCAACCGCCGCCAAGACGCGTTTCTATCAGCCAATAACAGTTCGTCCGGTAGTCACGTGAGAAAATACAACCGCGTGGTGTTTTAATGGCGGAAAGTTCGACGCGGTTATCCGAGATAACTAACATCAGAATAAAGAGGAAAGATAATAAATTTAACACAAATTCTACACAAATAATCATATATAATTTAATTCAAAGAACAAAACAACCGAATCTTACTCGAAATAGTATTGTTTATCGAGGAATAAGCGTATTTTGTATTCTTTATCCATTCAAGAAAATATCTTGTAACTAAATAAAGCAAGCCGTACAAAACAAAATTTGTAAACACGTGGATAGCGATAATATCGGTATCGTTCACCATCCTGAATACTGAACGCACGCGCCGAAATGAAAGCG